ATATATATATATATATATATATATGCATATACCCATATGTGTATACAAATGCAATATGTATACATATATATACATGTCTTGTTTCCTTTCTGTCTTCTTTTTGTATATTACACTTTCATACGCATATGTGCATATAATGACAAGTATATGCATATATACTGATATTTTTATGTAGTGTTTTAAACTATAATCAGTGTATCGAGATATAAAAATTTGTCACAGGCTTCATTATTACTATTTTTCAATATTTAGCAACATAAAAACTGTTTCTGTAAGAAATTTATTACGTTTGACTCTAACAGTTAGAACGCCATAAAGCTTTTATTTGTTACATGTAATGTTAAATCGTAACACTTCTGTTCCTCTGAGATTATAATTGTTTGCTTTTTGCAGGATAATACTATGTTGGCCAGCGACAATCATATGAAAAGGTGGGCGTTAATGTACATTTGAAATATAAAAACAAATTGTATAAGTTACTTTTGTAACAAATGAGATTTATATTTTTGCTTCAGTTGAAGTTTGGCATGTCTGAAACATTCTGTTTAACGTTTGGTATAACGTAGTATTTTGGAGCAATTACAATTAGTGCTTGTTGGGAAACCGTATGGAACGAGCGTCCCCCTTCTTTTGTATAGAGTATATAACTTTATAATAAACAGGTTGAGTACGATTAAATTGATACTTGTTTTCTATACATGAAACAGGATATATTGCACTATGTAAAAGTTACTGTAACTACCAGTTTTGAACTTTCTGTAATTTAATTTTCAGCTGCATCCCGAGGATTTTCAACCAATAGGGAACATTTCATCCACTGATCAAGTTATATGGTAACTGAAGTTGAAATTAAAGAATTAAATAATAAATTAAATATTTCTTTCATAAATTATATAGTAACATGGATTGATTTTGTAAATGTTAGGAATTTTATTACATTTAGTCCTACATAAATTTTAATAATATATTAAAATTGCGTAAATCATAATGAAAATGATCAAATATTAAATGGAATATTTTAGTATCCATTTGGATCTAAGTGTAAAAAACATTTTTTTTTACTTTTGGAGGAAAAGAAGTGTGTCGATTTTATTATTATTAGGATATTACTTGTTCTAATATAATATATACATTATTTTTATATACTTTTATTACAAATTATATATTTATCTGTAACGTACAAGTATAAATTTAAGAACTATGTAAAAAGATGTATCTCTCATTTGATTTAAGCAATTTGCAATTTTTAATTATTTCTTATTTATGACAATCTACCAATTGCAATTTTTATATGTGTAAATTTTGCATTCTTTTTTACTTACATTTATACATGTAACATGTACGTAAATATATCCTTAAATTAAAATATTAAGACTTTGTCATAAAATATGAAAATAGTTTTTATGTCTTTTTAATTAAAAGAATGAAAGATTTAATTTCTGTTTCAATCGTAAAATATTTACATTCTGTATGATATTAATCATACTGTAAGATACTAAAACAAATATGTATAATTATGATTCATGGAAAATATCAACAATTAAATTTTTTCAAAAGTTGTATTTGATTTTTCTCTCTAGTTAACATAATTTAATAATCATTCTCCTGCATCCTTGTATTTACGTAACAGAGAACTAAATAACTTTGTACAAAGAATTTCTGGTCACAAGCAAACATATATATTAACTTAATAAGAAAAGCAATGTAAATGATTATTCTCAAATTCCAAGACGACTAAAAACATCCGGTCGTTTTACATGTGCTACTGTTGCAATTCTGTCAAAAGTTACTTGTTTAGCACTGCTTGTTTTAACCATTCCCAAACGTGCTTTTGCCGGTATGGTGGTTAATCTTTCTGAGGCTAACAAAAATATTGCACAAAAATTAAAAGATAGATGTGATAGAAAATATAAAAAATATATTGGATACTATGTAGAACTATGTGCATACCTAGTTTTCCCGATGTAACGTTGGATTTTATCATTCTGTTGTCTCTTAAAGATGTGTTGTTAAAAGTTATTCTTTTTGTTCTTTTCACTAACTGTGAAATATTATTTGACATAACTTTTCTGTTTACTTCTTGATCAGCTCGCATTGTGCCCACATTTTTTGGTACTATTTTATTTGTTGTAAGAATCGAAGGTCTTATACTAGGGCTTCTAGTTTTTAATATTCCTGTACTATTTATTCCATTTTTTAATATACTTGGTTGAATTATGGTATCCTTTTTGGCATCTTTATCTCCTAATCGATTAAAAACAGATCTTTTAAGGATATCTTTTCCCAATCCGGTAATATTGAATGTTGGTAATGTTTCAGTTGGATTTGTTGTACTAGTCACAGAACTATCACCTAGCCTATCGAATACAGTTCGTTTTTGTTCTGCAGATTTCTTAAGAATTTGTTGACTTCTAGATGTTGAACCTTTTGGAAGTATTACAGTATATCCTACTGTCTCTTTATTGTCAAGCGATTTCAGCTTTTTAGGTGTTACTTCCCACTCGTCTTCATTATTAATATCAAACTCATTATCTTCTTTTAATTTTCTTTTCAAGATCTGCTTTTTTTGATTAGCAAGGTCTGCAATTATTTCATCTGATGTTGATGTCGATTTCTTATCAACAATGATTTTCTTGGCTGAACTTGTTGGAATTTTAATGGTTTTTTTTGTAAGTACTGCCTCAGTTTTATGTTTGTTATTTACTTTTTCTAGCTTCGAACTAGAACTGACTATTTTGGTTGATACTTTTTTAATTGTTGATTTAGATGATCCAACTTTATCCTTAGTATCAACCAAGAATCTTTCACATGTTGTTTCCTCTACTACTTTTTTTGCATATCTCAAAATGGCAATCATATCCCCCATTAAAGTAATTCCCATTTCTTTGAGACTAGGTTTATCTAAATCGGGTAACATGTCTGGTTTAATACGATTATTGGAAAACACAACTGCATGCTTCGTAGCTACATCCTGAGGAAATCCTGCACTCTTAAAAAATTTTACCCAATATGCTGGAAGAAAAAAAAGGGGGAAAAATATACAGAATGATAAATGATTGGTAGAAAACGTGAAAAATTAGAAAGATTCTTGAATACCTGATAATGATGATGCCATTTTACCGGTTAGGTTATTTCTATTATTTGACACGACAATGCTCTTACAAATAATCTCTTATATTAAGTACAGATCATTCACACAAAAATTAATAATATTAATTAGCATATTTTACCAAATTTGTTATTTCTTACACGAGTTCACTCAAAACAGAAAATATTTCCACAAACGAGTACACGATGGCGTTTTGAACAAACAAATAGCAAGAAATATTCGATTATAATTTTTTTGAAGAAATATTACAGAATATAGCTAGAAAATGACAGTAAATATTCCATTCCTCGAAACTTTAAGTCTATTCATGTCCATTCCTGTATATATGTATATATATACATATATCCATTCCTATATATATATATCTATATGTACCAAGTGAGCACAGCATGAGTGAAATTGAAATGATTAGATAAAAAATTACAGAGGGACGTTACATGTGGCGACATCATCGACAAATACGAGCATTATTAGCAAGTGGCAATTCTTATTTACGAATGAATCGAAATTTTTGTTAAATTATTTTTCGTTGTCAAAGGAACAACCCTGTGTAAAAAAGAAACGGTAATGAAATTTCAATGCCCATTAATTTCACGTATTGTATTACGGAAATGTGAATCATCTAGATGAAAATTTGTTACATTTTTTATTACTGAAAAAGTAATGCCTGTATGTCCTAAATTGGAAGTAACAAACGTTTTATTTAAGTACTTCAGGAATTGAAAGTTGGAGGTCCAACCGACGCGATTGTTGCCGTTCTATGTACAGGATGCTTATGCTTGCACGTCTATAAAGTCTCGAAGGAATGGTGTTGCTCTTGTTGTTTTGGAAATTTCACACGAATTACTGTACTATTTTTATCGTGTGTGGGTGAATCAGGTGTCTTAGTCGTCTTCGATACTATTTTCGATATCTTCGTATTCCCTAAGCCGTTTCCTGGGCGAGATTCGCGCTTAAACGAAGAACGGAGGTTAGTTTCGGCAGATGTATCGGGGTATGTACTTAGTTTCTTTTTTTTTTTTTCACGAAACTGACAAATGCAACAGGATCACGTTACGTTATCTTTGTTTAATTTTTAAACGTGATTTTTTTATTTAGATTACTCCCGATTTTGTCCCCCCTAAGTTCGTTGGATGTGTTATTCGGAGAAGAATATTTTGTTAATTAGTAAACATACTTGTTCGATCATTTTTAATAATTTTTTTTTTTAGGCAGCATTGAATAAATTTAAGTGGATTTAAATTATAAATTTCTTAAAACTACGTAGCTGTTTTATCGAATTTAGTTAATTACAATCAAGTCTATGTCGTGATTGA